ACACATCTTCTCTGAGCTCCCGTTCAAGGTGTGGTCGGCCCGGACGTGAGCCTAAGAGGTACCAAAGGTGTGCAGGAGAAATGCTTTAGAATGGGAGATGAGGTGGAGACAGGGGTGAGGCCTCAGGGGCAAGGGCCCCAGCTGAAAGCTGATTGGCCCCTGGAATGCCCTGCTCCCTCTCACTCACTGTTTAAAAGCATATCATTGGCTAATGATAAGGTCGGACCTTCTGTATGAATTACGGCCCCTTTTATACTCACTGCAATGGGTAGAGACCCTGCTGGACTCTGACTGTGAAGCTCCACAGTATCAGCGTTTCTGCCGGCATGACCCTTTACTTGACCCAGAGTATTTCATTAGGCTATACTACTTTACACGCATCGTGCCTCTACTCAAAGAAAGCCGCATGGATAAGCCTGAAATCTGTGGGCGGGTTAATCCAAGGCTTTTTTTGAGTGATGCTCTTCGAGCCACATCGTATGAGCCATGATACGAATTTCAGAATGCTCGTAACTGAACACACCTTGAGGGTTTTCTAATGTAATCCAAGTGTTTTCTCCATGTTGACCTTTATTAATAGAATTTGGGCTGGCTTTCATCCTTTGGAACTTGGTCTGATTGCATGCAGGTGCCCTGTTGCACCATGGGAATCTGTGAATAGAAGGATCGTATCGGTCAGGTCAGACCCATGTGACAAAGTGAAAGTCCAGCAGGGGGCGCTGAACACCAGGTACCACCAAAGCCTTAGCAATGCACGCCAGCGGAAAAATGACATCGGCACTGGAGAGTCATCCTGCTTTGCAAACGGAACACGCCGAGGCCGAAAGAAGGATTTCCGCAATTCTTCTCTTTAGAAGTTGCTATGCAGACTCAAATGGTGCCGCAGGTTAAGTAATTTAGTCATAATGGCTGCGGGATCTGGTTTTCTCGCTAAGCGCCTGTGTTTGTGGATGAGGGTGTGGAGACAGGCAGCACTCATCAGAATGATGACTTTTCATGCCTCATTACTTTTCTGCAACATTCCCTCCCTCATTCCACGAATGTGAGTTCCCTTCATGCATGTTTCGTGATTTCTGCGGTATCTTTCCTTCGGTACTTAACTCCCCCAATGAAGAAGCCATTCTGGTTGGATTGCGGAGCGATGGTGACAGCCGTTACCCCGTAAGCAGTGCATTCTGGGATGCAACACTAGCTTGCTGAGACCGTGGGGCATCACAGCAGGGCTGAGAGTGTCTTGTGTGGTTTGGCTGGTTTGCTCCTGTGGTTTTTTATTTTTTTTATTTTAATGATTTTCCTGAATGTCCAGGGCCAGCATGATCTATGCTGCTTTTGTTCTGCCGGCCGGAGAGCAGCGGTATAAATTATCGCCATAAACCGCAAAACTCTGCAGCATTTCAGCAACACAAAGGCTGTTTAACTAGCCATCAGACCAGCGGGAAAATGCAAATCCAAGGGGAGAAACCTGGCATTTTCCCACAGGAGCCCCCAGCGGGGCCTGTCCACACAGTAAATCTGCCATGCTTGATGCGAGATGAAGATGAGGCGTATGGTCATGGATAGAGACTCCCTCTAAGTGGGGACTTTTATCCAAAGCTCACGCTCAACTGCTTGTAGCTGTTCTGATGTGTGCTGCTTCCCTCGGGAATCTTCAGGTTTGACCTTCTCCATTCGCCTGTCCCATCCTAAAATGGGTCATTTCCCCTTTACTGAATCTGGTCCTGAGAAATTGATGGTCTTGGTGGGGGCAGGGGGGTGCTTGACAATGAGTATTACACACCCCCCCCTTTGAGAAAAATCCCCAGGAGGTAGCCACCAAGTCTGGGAATCCCATTTACCACCCACCCCATCATCTGCCAAATATTTGCCTTGAATCCAAAGAAAACATGTGAATTTGGAAAACCGTTATCAGGAGAGAAAATAGCTTCCCTGACAGCTCGCATTCCCGTTAGACATGATTTACCACTCATGCTGCTTGGGGATCGTATCACGAGCCCCCGAGAAGGCCAGGGGAGGTCTTCGAGAACGAATGAGAAGCGTGTTTCTGCAGTAGCATGTGTGTGTGTGCGGGGGTGTGTGTGTCTGTGTCCTACACCGGGTTTGCCAGACAGCTGACGAGAGAAACGGCAGCGTGTTTTTCTCTGGGATGCTGCCTCCCACTGGGCTTCCACTGGTCATGTTCTCAGATCCACTGATCTGGATTGGCCGAGACGGGGCAAAGCACGAGTGTGCAGAGAGTTCTCGCCGCTGTGATGTCCACACCAGTGCGGTCCGATTTCATACTGAGAGTTGGGTGGGAGCAAAAATGTGGACTGTCTGGGGGTCGCTGAGGACCAGGCTGTTTCTGGGGCCTCCCTTAAAACAAAAATCACTTTGAGGCCCCCTAGTTTAGTGACTGTTTGTGGCCAACAGGGGGCTCCCAAACCTTTGGGGCCCACTGGTTAGCTGTACAGAGCAGCAAATCTAACGAGTTAAGCGTTTCCGGGACATTGGGACAGGCGCGTGAAACTATGCGCGACATTCCCATTAAACGCTATCTTCCCCTGGACCAAGACGCAGGAAGCAGGCCAGTGTCGATTTGTTAATCGTCACCACGACGATGTGAGAGATGCCTCGGGGGGGGGGGGGGGGGGGAAGGGGGGGAAAATTTTTTTTAAAAGCTGGGCCCCGCCCCCCCCCCCCCCCCCCCCTGTCATAGCTCCAGATTCAGAGCCTTTTAAACGTTCAAAGTGGGCTTTCTGATGTACTGGGAAATCCGACGCACCTTAAATCAAAGTCTGCAGCTTTGGTTCTGTCTGTGTGTGTTGGAGTGGCTCAGGAATTACCTAGGGACCGATTCCGACATGCCCGTTTTACATTTATTAACAGGAACGGTGCCTCGGATACACACTGCACGGGAGAAAAGTCCTTGTTCCATAAACATCTTTAATATGGGCTTATGTGCTGTTTGGTCTGGGTATTCGGGTTCCAAGTCTGTCCACAGAAGGTTCTGCAGGATGGTTCTGGACTCGCCGGGCAAGCAGCACTGGTCAAAACAGCCCAAGGCCAGTTCTGCACTGTGTGAACTCTAGGTCGCTTCTCCTCTTCCACAGCACCGTTCTGCCAAGAAAACAAAGAAACAGAGAGCACTAGCCCTTGGGGAACAAGGGTGGAGGGGGGTGTCACGGACCCCACCCATCAGAGCACAGTACTAAAAACCATCAGGGCGTGTTTGCCTTAACATTACCATGAGGGAAGGGGGGTGTTTTCATTGCAACCGGTTTTAAGAATCACTGCTGGGAAAAAAATATTAAAAGGCTTCATGACCACCCCCAAGGACAGGTCACGGGAAAGCTCTGAGGGATCCTCATGAACGGTCCAGAACTTCCACCTCTCATGCTGTTCCGTGGCCGCTGGACAGCACCGTCTTAATATCACGGTGTTAACGGTAAACAGGCCCTTCTTTGTTGCCCGTGCTCAGCCCCATTGGAGTATCACCCCACCGTGACGTGAGAAAGCGACACTTGCATCCTGAATTCACACATAGGCATCATTGTGCGCGATCAGACAAGCCGCGGTTTTGTTTGTCGAAGCGCGGATGAGGGGTCCTGGTGCTTTCCGTCAGCGCTTCAGCAAAAGGACGGACCCACATGCCGGGAACAGGCTGGGCCACAGGGCGACTTCAACTACAGGAAGCTAGATGCGGCTCTCTCAGGGGTTTCTGGGCGGAGCTGGCTTCTCAGTGTCTTCTGCATAGTGGGAGGTAGGGGGCGCTGTACTTGAGGAGGTCTGAAACTGTCAGCGTGGTCCTATCACGCAGCAGTTAGGGTTAAACAGTGCAAAACAGGGATCTGCAGCTGTTTATGTAATAGTGACGGCACTATGGCCTCACCCCTCCAGGGTCAAGGTTCGAACCCCATCCCCCCTTTGTGTGTGGAGATTGCTGGTTCTCCCCACATCGGTGTAGCGTTTCTCCAGATACTGAGTTTTTTGCTTGCAATAGCAAAACATGTGGTTAGGTCAATTGGTGTCTCCAAATTGCCCACAGAGTGTATGGGCGCCCTATGATGGACTGGCACCTTGTTCTGGCTGACTCTGCCATGTACTTGCCGGGAAAAATGCCAGTGACTAGGTACTAGATATGTGGTAATGGAATATTTATTAGTTATTTTAACCAGAAACGGGATACAACATTGATAGGATATGTGGGAGTATTAATGTTGTATAGCAGCTGGATTGTTTATTTTCTGTGTTTAGTAGTTGCGTATGTGGCGTGTACTTCAGATAAAAGAACTGCGGTAATCGCTCAAGCTCGCTCAAAACAAGACATAATGACCGCTTGTTTCCCAAATGCAGCGTCAGGCACCGCAGACGGTTGCCCCCTTTCGGCAGGCAGGAAAGTAGCGCCGCTCAAACATCATACTTTTCTACGCTTGACAAGATTGATTCCCTGTTTCACGACCCCCTTTTCCCATATAACGGACGCTTGGAAAACTGCTTTATTCACACTGTTTCTGTCACATTTAGGTTATTTACGTTTTGGTCAATAATATATAGGCTACATGGTATTCCGTGAATACGTGATTATTTTCTACACTTGTGCAAAATGTTTAATAGCATATATTAATTATTATTTGATTAATCGTGATGTAAGCTTTCCCTTAAATACTGTTCAAATTGTATTTTTTCAGCGACGTCGTAAAATTAGCCAAAGCAGTCTTTAACGTCATATGTAAATTTGCAACTGATAATGTGTACCCTAACATTATAAGAAAATCAGAATTTCCAGAACAACTGGCTTTTATATATAAAATCTTAGCTCGTTTAAGTAGTTCCGAATGAATTTTCAATTCCATGATCAGTTTTATTAACAAATAAGGTGATACGCTGCTATCTTCTGCATTTGCCTGAAATATTGTGAAACAAAAGTGGATTCAGCAGAAAAGGCGCTTAGATTCATCACATGCCCCAGAACAGTGCGGGCGCCCGACGTGAAGCAGAGCATTAAATGTCTTTCTATCTCTTTCTATCGTTTCTTTTTGTGTGAGATGCGCGTGTGCCTGAGAGTATCTGGCTGCGTGAGTAGGGAGTGTATGCGCGGGGAAAGTGGGTGTCGCTAATCTCTGCGATTCTGACGACGACGGCGATGGTGATGATGAGGGTGATGATGATGAGGATGGTGGTGGTGGCTCGGAGAGAGAGGAGCCGCAGCGGCGCGACGCACGATCGCAGCAGTCAGCTGTGAAGACCGAGCGGAGCGGGCGAGGTGTCCATGCCATGTGTCCGGCGGATCGCACCATGTAAAGCCCAACTGCAGGCTGGAGGTCCTGCGAATAGTGGCAGCGGAGCCGAGCCCAGCACCCGCTACACTGATCACTGCGAGATGGTAAGGTCTGGACGCCCCTGGCAGGAACATGGTTGAGAGGACCAGCAAATTCTTGTTAATCGTCGCCGGCTCCGTCTTCTTCATGCTCATCCTGTACCAGTACGTGGCTCCCGGGGTGATGAACTTCGGGGCGCCGCAGGGGTACCTGGCGGAGGACAACACGGATATCTTTCCCACTCCGGACCCGCATTACGTTAAGAAGTACTATTTCCCCGTCCGGGACCTGGAGCGCACGGTGGACTTCAAGATCAAGGGGGAGGACGTGATCGTGTTCCTGCACATCCAGAAGACGGGGGGCACCACCTTCGGGCGCCACCTGGTTCAGAACGTGCGCCTGGAGGTGCCCTGCGATTGCCGTCCCGGCCAGAAGAAGTGCACATGCTACCGGCCGAACAGGAAGGAGACGTGGCTCTTCTCGCGCTTCTCCACGGGCTGGAGCTGCGGGCTGCACGCCGACTGGACGGAGCTCACCAGCTGCGTGCCGGGGGTGCTGAACAAGAAGGAGAGCAAGCTGAAAACGCACAGGTACGGCCGGGGGAAGAAGTCAGACTACTAGGGATACCTCGCGCTCTTTGTACCCTGCATTTGCTTGTCTCACTTTTAATCATATTAAATGTTTATTATTTGCGTATCTTTATTTTTGTTCTGCTATCTCTATTTAATTTGTTTACGTTCGTTATATCTGTTGGTTTTTGTACTTTTGCTTTGGTTACATTTTCAAGTCACCATCTGCATCAAAACAAATTCCTCGTGTTTCTTGTGCATGGTCGAATAAAAGGATTCTGATTCTGAAAAGTCATTCTTATCTGCCTACCCTGGGAGTTAAGTTGTATTAACAAAACAGAAACATTTTTTTTTCTGAAGCGTATTAACAAAATAGTAAGAATCCGGCTGGCTGACATAAAGCGGACCACCGATGTTGCGCTTCATTGCCGGCGGCGGGAAACGGGACCAGCTACCCCGAGTTCTGACGGCGTTAACCTCGGTCCCGGCGCAGCGGGCGGGTAAATATTACACGCGCTGGCAAATCGATCAGCGCTTTATTAAAAGCTGAGCTCGTTGTTTTCCGGGTACCGGTTGCTTGGTGGTAGAACCAGATAAACGGGTAGCTGCAGAGCCGGGCAAGTACACTGACTGGATTTAGGTATAGTTATTTAATAAACAAACTTATAGCGAGAATAATCGTGTTGCTGACTCATTAAGGAATTGCGTGTCTAGGCAATGAATCAGATTTTAATCGGATTCTATTATATTTTATCTGGATAGAGCGATTTCTCAGCATAATGTGCTGTTGTGTAAAATTATTTTCCGTGCGCTGAAGTGTACCTAAGAAATACAGACGTCCTGTCTACCAACATAATAGATTTTTTTTTAGCTGGTGAGAAGTATTAGGCCTACATGGCAAAAGTTTTATTTTCATTTGAAATTAACATAGAGGATGTTTGTTGTGTGCGGCAAGGCTGAAATAAATACCTCATACGAGTATTACATCTCGCCCGCAACTCTGCTGAGTATAAACGAACATTTCACTTCAGTAACTCTTAATTAGCCTGATTGCAGGGTTTCGACCGGCGTTGCGGTGAAACGGCGTTGGCAGGCGTCCCCCCCACCGGCATGCGTCTGTAAATCAGGGCGATGTTTTAATCTGGGAAACCCAAAAGAGACAGCACTGCACCATCCACCATCCATCCACCTAGGCCACGGGCTATTTCGGAGGCTGTGCCAGCAGCAGATTCGGCTTTTCCAGCCTGGAAATCTGGCTCCGGCCTTGGGGTCCCAGTACACACTCCCATTAGCGGTGTCTCTGATTGTTAAAGCAGGTGCTTTTCAGATGTTTTTAATAACATTCTAAGGTTTATTAATCAGCCCTCTCTACTGTCGCTGGTTCAGACCCCGGGATGTTTAAGGGAGTGTCGCTGTATTAATTTAAGGTGGGCTGTTCCGGATGACTGGGATTGCAAAGCGCTGTGAATGTCTGGGTGATGTTTCAGTGATAAATCTGGGCGCTTGTTGGGCTCTAGGACCCTCTCTCTAGTGATACTGGCAGGAAGAATAAAAGGTTTCAAAAGTTAGAAACTAAGATGGTCTGGTGCAGATCTGCATCTCTGACCGGCTTTCAGGGACCGATATTTTTAATCCAGAAAAGGCGAAATACACGCCGCTTCCTGGCTCCACATACTCCGTGCTGACCCCCCCGGCTCAGTGCTGCACAAGTTGGGCTGGTGAATAAGGGCAGTTTGTTTCTGGCTGCGCCCCTTGGGAAATGCTCGCGTAATCGCCAGGAACCCGAATCGTCCCTTTAAGTGTTTAAAGTGCCCCTTATGAAACCGGGGCGTTGTTTGTTTGTTTGTTTGTTTGTTTTTTGGTGAATACTACTGAATGAGTTTCAGCCCAGTAATTGCTATTGTGGGTGGTTCCCGCGATCGTTCTTCATTGGCGTTCCTGGACAGGGTTGGGAGGGTGATGTTAAACTCCGATCGCCCCACACCTCCCCCGTCAGCTTGGACGTTGTTGTGTTTGTGAGGAATATCCCATAATACTGATCGTCGTGGCACTTTTGTAGCCTGGCCGTTCTAGTTGTCTATGAGAGGCTTGTATTTTGCATGCGCGGAGCTTAGCTACCGGGGGAGTCTTTCTCCGATTTTCTTGTCTATATTCTCTGTATCCTGCACTGTTAGTCTGCAATGCCTGGGAGTCTCTGCACATGGTCCTACAGCAAAGAGGAACAGGGTCTGTATGAGGCGGATATGCTCAGGACAGCCGCTTCGCGGTGGGATCTCCACTTTGTGGATGATGTCACACTTTCGTGAGAGTGCTCGTGAGCCGTGTGTCAGTCCCGCGTTCTCTGCAGATGGGTTTATTGTTTGCTCCTTGTTCTATGGCATGGCTTTTAGATAGTCATCCATCACCTTATGTCATGAGGTGGTATAGACTCATTAAAGGTGTGTTTTGTCCCACCTGTTTTCAGTGCTCTAAGAAGAGGTTTGTGAAATGTTATTTCTACAAAGGTAATGTAAACACACACAGACACACACACTCGGTCGGGACTTGAACCCCAGGCTATTTTTCCTCAGATGGGAGGATGGTTGGCAGAAGGTGATTCTGCTGGATGACAAATGTGTCCTTGAGGACTTTAAACCAAACAAAGGTCTTCAAGCGTCTCTGTAAAACATAAAGCAGCAGATATCAGAAGCTGCTTGGTCCTTTTCCAAACCTCCTTGAGGAGCAGATGTGAGTCCCCTACAGAAGAGAACAGAAAAGTTACATGGACAGACAGGAGAAACCACTACCTCCCCAGGGCACATGCTCTTCAGGCTCTGCAGTGACAAGAGTGGCGTCGGCGTTTTAAGGAGCTGCATGTTTGGTGTTACTGAGTCACGCTCTGCCCTGCAGTGTCCTGTGCCGGGCCGCATGCCTTCTGCCAGGCTGCGGTCTGGCTGGATGGGTTTTGATGCTATTCCGGGTTTTATTGGCGAACCTCGGTACCTCGATGCTGGCCATCCTGTGCCACGGCTCAGACCCAAAGCGCTGGACGTCTCTGTTTGCCCCAGCGGTGAGCTCTAACTGCACTGATGTGCTAAAAGCCCATCCAGGTTCCATCCCCTGAGGCTTCAAGCCTCCGGCGCTCGATTAAAACAGCCAATTAAAAGCTTGTTTATGCAAAATGTGCCAGTGACTAGTCGCCGCTAAGCAGATCGAAGTCTCCCCGTTTGTTTTTCTTTTGATTTTGGCTGTGGTTCCCGTGCATTGGGCTGGTTGTCATCGGTTACGGCGGTCCCCATGATTACAGATGGCGGCTTTAGCGGAAGCCCACACCTGCTTCTGAAAGAGAGGCTTGTTCTTGCCGAGCTGGCTGGCAGCAGGGGTGGCTATCGCTAACACCCGCACGCCGCCCCGGGGGTCCGATCCCACAGGCCGCAGGTTTGTGTTCATTTGTCCCTCTGGGGGGTGTGTCTGTGGGAAAGCTGTGTCTGTCAGGAAGATATCCCCCCCCCCCTGTTGTTTGGGACTCCGTCAGACTTTACAAAGGGATGGAGAATCTTGCACCTAATTAAATATCACCTGAGGTTTTAAAAGACGGAGGAACAAAGAACTTTCTATGTTTTCTTTTAGGAGTGAGAGCTGATCCAATAACTCAGCGATTGTCTTTTTGGGGGGAGGGGGGTCAGCAGGGTGTTTGTGGTGGGTCCAGGGTGCAACTCCCCCCCCAGCAAGCCTGCTCACCTATGACTTGGTCCAGTGTGCATGCTTGGGGTGGGACCACTCCTGGAAAGGCAGCATTAGGCTGCAGGTTCAAATCCCATTTTAGTAGCCGCCTGGTCGTGTGAGGACCTCCTGGCCGGTTTACGTAATATCCGCCATGCCATTAAGAAGGGGATGATCTAGGCAGGCTTCTAAGTGGGCAGCATTAACCGTGCGTGCAAGACACCAGCTGGGGAAGGTGACCGCCTCGATTTTGGGCAGCTGGGGGGGTCTGATCCCGTGGACTGGGTTAACTCGGCTGGCGGCACTGATCCGCTAATCCGATCAGATCAACCTGGATTGAAGGTTGGCTCCATCCAGGCTGCTGGCGGTCACACAAATCCTCCCTGCGGGCCCCAAAACGGCAGCATGGGGCCCCTGGAGACCCCTGCCTCCGTGCCGGTGACGCCGGTGCAGCAGAAGGACCATGTCACGTCTCCCTGGGACAGCGAGGACAGGGGCACAGCTCTCCAGTGGGGTCACAGTCCACCCTGTCACTGACAGCGGCACTGGGAATAGGCAGTTCTGGGGCTGGAAATGTCTCCAGCAGTGTTACGGAACCAGTGAGTCCCTCACCCTCTTAGTTGCACTCTTTAGGTCAATCTGACTCTTTGTCTACATAAAGTATTCCACACAAAGCAGCTCCCTCCAGAATGACACCCTTCCGGCAGGAAGTGGTTAAAAACCACGCATGCCACCGTAGCCTGTGTCATGTGACATGTCGGATTTACGAGTCACCTGCTCGGGGGGGGCGAGGGTGACCTTGATTCACCTTGTAAAAGGACACCGGTGCTGTTGGCAGCATTTTCCGTCAGTCGTATGTTCTCCTCCCCCTTTATTTTTAAGCTGCGCCTTTCGACACGATGCCCACATCCTGGAGCAAGTATCCAGCGTTGTGTCCCCTGGATGGGAACACAGTGCTCAGTGTCACCAGGGTTGATGCTGTGTGTGTGTCCCTGTCTTTCTCTGTTTATACGTGTGTGTCTGTCTATATGTTTATGTGTTAAATGAAGCACGGTGCAGTTTCCATGGCATCCGATGGTTCCAAAGTACCTTTTTGTAACATCCCAGCAACGTCGCCCCCATGTGCCATCAGCTCACGTGACAAGTAGATTAAAGCCTTTATTTAATTCTTTCGGAGCACTATTGAAAGAAGACTGTAGGACATGTTGCTTTGATGAGGCTTTCAGCGTCAGACGGTGCCCAGGCGTCTGGGCTGGGGGTTCGATTGACAGTAACGACCCCCGCAGCCCTGTGGGGGGTGGCTGGATGGGGGAGGTGGG